CGGAGGAGCGGGGCGGGTCCCGGGGGCTCGCGGCGCGCAGGCGGCCGCGTCCCGGCGACAGCCCCGAGAGCGGCGGGGCGGGTGGGCTGGACGGCGGAACGGCCGCATCTTTGCCCCTCGGCGCTCCGCTGCCGGTAGCTGTCCGCGGCGCTCAGGTAAGGGAGCGCGAAGCGGGGGTCCGCCGGAGGAAAGGGAGAGCGGAGAGAAAGGAGCGAGCGGCGGCGGGCTGGGGTTCGGCGGTCCGGGCGCGCCGCGGGGGGCTTCCCTCACAGGGCGGCGCGCGGGAAGGTCTCGCGCCGCCCCGGCGCGTGGCGACTGTTGGGAGCCGATAGGCGCGAGGACGGCTCGTGCCGCCCCCCGCACGCGGGCGATGCCTGTGGGACGCGGGCGGCGGGGCGGCTCCGCTCACCTCCTGCAGGTAAGCGGCGGGGCCGCGACCCCGGAACGCGCTGCTTTTATCCTCCTGGCAGCCATCGGCTCGGGTCAGCTCCCCTTAGGGGTCTGAGCATCCGTAGCGCTTAAAACCCTGTGAAGGATGTCACCTTCTGTCCTCTCCCGCTCCCCCCTCCTTCTCCTAAGCTCCTCTAAAGGGATCTGCGAGGCTGAACAAAGAACGCTGCCTGAGACGCGGGGGTGCCGCGGGTGTAAGCGCTTCTAATTTGCTCTTGGTGGTGGAGGGGGGGGGGGGGGGAAACGCGCGTGGCCGCTGTAACCGCAGCGGGGCGGCGGCGAACAAAGCCTCGCTGTGGAAGAGAGCGTTCTGCGGAGCGCCCTGCTCGAGCTGCTGCAGGTGGGAGCCGCGGGCGCGCAGCTCCGCGCTGCGATGTGACGAATAAACGCCGCTCGCTTCAGGTTGGTGCGTTTGTGTGTGTTCGTGTGTGTGAGACCCAGCTTTGGGAAAGAAGGGGCTGCGCAGCTGCTTTCTGCCTTCAGGATGCCAACCGAATTCATTTTCCGATGGAACTTTCAGGTTTCCTCTGAATAAAGATATTCTCTGACTTGGTGGTGGCATTCAGTGCAGGCTTCTTCCTGATACAAAATAGCAGGCTTTCACATAAAGGGGTTGTACACGTAAAATCACTGATTGCATACGTACACGTTGTAACTCCTACCAAATATTCTAAGTTCCTGCCCTCCCTTCTCGTGATCCCTCATGTCTTTGTGGCAGTGATTCTCTCCAAGAACCGTTTGCTGTCCAGCACTTGTGCTGCTCCCCATCCAGCAAACCTGTCCCTTTTGTTTTCAGACGTGTTCTTCTTTTCAGGGTGGAAGCACGTCTCCTCTCTGTTCCGTATCTCCCCCTTCCTGCCCAGACGTTTGCTTTTCCCATGGAGTCTTTTTCTTTCCACCTGTGTGCTGCTTTATGCCTTGACTGTGGATATCAGCTCTGATGCACCCAAAAAGAGCTCAGCTGCAGGGTGTGTTTGTTTCCAATAGCTTCTCTCACTTCCCTCCCTACTGGATGACGTGATTACAGCATCTCAGCCCTTGCTGAGGAGAGGAAGAGAATGTGCAGAGAGAGCTTTACCTGATGAAAATCCCCCTGCCGTTTCTTGATAGATAACTAAGAAGTGAGAGAACGGAAAGCTTTCCTATTTGTGATAGAAGCTCTATGCATAGAAACTCTGTTAGCACAGAGACAACCTGGGTCAGTTTGTGGATGGGTTTGTGTTTCTGCTGTTAATATTTTCAAAATGTGGTATGTAAAAATGGTGGGTGAGCCCCAAACTCATCTCAGTAGCACCTCAGTTTAGGAACCAGAGTTCAACGCTGTGCTTTTCATTTCACCAGCTTACAGAATGCACTTGGCAGCAGGCAGGACCCCAAATTTGGTGTGGTACCAAGTCTTAGTGCTCAGGCAGCAGCACTGCAGAGCCTTACAGGTGAGCTGAACCAACACACTGCACCCCTTGGGCTTAGCGAGGACATTCGCAGGGCGAAAATGGAGGAAGCAAGTGAGTCCTTGTGTGGTGAGGTTCGGGAGGAGAAGTGGTGCTACTTCTCCCTCCACCCCTTTATGTTAAGGATTCGGTTAATGGAACTTTATAATTTGTTGCACCCATGTTGTGGTTTGCCTGCGGGTGTGTGAGAGAAGCCAAAGAGCTGTCATCCTGAGAATAAAAAGTCGCTGTTCTTCTGTGGAGAATTTTAGCACACTCTGAATGCAGTTCATTGCGCTAATAATGCAGTTTGTTACATAAAGGAACGTTTGAACCCTTGATTTAGAGATCTGATGTAATTGTTATGGTATGTTATGTCAGTACCCACTTAGCTGGGCTCTTTAAATATATTCTGACAATAAAAAAATCGTCATCATTTAATGACCCCTGAGGTCCTGTGCTGGAACGTGAGTGATTACAGTAGTCCTTAAATGAATTGCTGTGGTCTCTGGGATAAGAATTCCCTTGTTACTTGGCATTTTTCAGAGGCATACCCCTCCTTTCGGCCTGCACCATGCTGCTTTCTGTATGAGGTACTGTTTGCAAAGCCGTGTACCTGGATTCACGAGAGGAAACGTTTGCTCTTGTACTGACACCAGAGCTGTTTCTGGTCCCTCTCGGTATGGCCCTGTTCTTGCTGAACAGTTGTCTGAGCTCTGGAAATTGCTGGAAATATCTAAACACAGAAACGGGTGGGTGAGGCCCATTTCAGACTCTGCTGGACTATTTCAGCAGTCACCTCCAAATGTGGCATTTCATATACATGTGTTGGAGACAGGTTTGTTTTCTTAAAGGAGTGAGAAGAGGGAGAATTCAAAAAGAATTTAGCTTGTGAGGACTTGATGATAATGGATTTCAAAAAATTGCCTCTTTATTACTATAAGCTCTATAAAGTCAGAAGGCACTGACAGAACTTGTAAAGGAGATGAAGCATCTGTCAGATGTGGAATCTGATATGCCACAGTAAGACAAATGACGACCAGCTCAAGGAGGGAAAAAATAAAAGCAAGCTCTAGTAGCGTTTCTCTGTAAGTTGTGGGTCTGTCCAAAGTTGAGACCTCTTTCCCATGTAGTACCGGGCACTGGCAATGAGGATACTGGGAGCTCATCTGGTGTAGCCTTTGGCTCAGCAAAGATAAAAAGCACTCTTTTATCCTGTGGCTTTATTGGGGTACTCTTAAGAGAAATTCTTTGCCTTGAGCACATTTGTGGCTACATTGAGGCTTTATCCAGAAATGGATTAGGAAATGTTGCAGTTAACGTGCACGAGTGGGTAGCAGCCGGAAATCTGGAAAACTGCAGTGTTCTTGAGCTGTAGGGCTAGCTGGCTTCCCAAGGTACCTTCTACACTGAATTATCTGATGATCTGGGCTTTTCATGTGTGTGCTACTTCAAAGTCAATGGGTGTACTTGAAATGTGTTTCCATTTTACAGTATGTGTGGTAAAGAACTGGGACTGCCCAGAGGTGCTGCGGATGTCCTGCCCCATCCCTGGAGACATTCAAGGCCGGGCTGGACGGGGCTCTGAGCACCAAATCTAGCTGCAGATGTCCCTGTTCATTGCAGGGGAGTTGGACTCGGTGGCCTTTATGGGTCCCTTCCTACTCAAGCCATTTTATGATCGTATGTGCAATTGTTCCTTAAGACCCAGAGATGGTTACTTTTGTCTGTCTGGATTTATTACATGTTTCAATACACGCTTAGTTCTTGAAAATGAATGTTAAGCATGCTTTAAAGTTAAGGCTCACAGTTTTAAACTGTTTTGCTTGGAATGGAAAATAGTTTAAATTCAGTGTCCATGGGCTTAGTTGTGGAAAACCCCTGATGATGATTGGTGGTGCTGAGGACTTCCAGGGAAGGCATGGGAGTGGGCAGTGTTCCTTGAAGTCACTAGATTACAGAGGAAACAGATACACACATTGAGGGAAAGTGTAGCAGTGCTATGTTTAAATGTGCTGGTGCCTTTTCCCCCTGTTCTCCTTCACATACAGGTGTGCTTGTTAGCAGTGATTCTGTAGTGCATTTGAGTTAATAAGGAAAAACCAACAAGAGACTGATTTCCACAGGGTGGGGCTGATTTAGTGAGGCACTGATGGAAACGGGTGGTTTCCTAAGCCATCTGCCTCAGCAAAGGAAAAAGCTTTTCTTTCCAGGGTAGGGTAAATCACAGGTTATGCTACTAAGCTGCAGAAGGATGTTTTAGAAGGACATTAAATGTGACATTTGTAATTGCTTTCTAGGTATTTGAAGAAGAGACTGATGCATCCGCGGGGTTAATTTGGATTGCTGTGGCCACATGGGTTGACCGTGCTAGCTGTTAAGAAGATTTGAGGTCTTGATTGACCCATTTTACTTTAACACTAATTGTTTGCTGCTTTATTAAGGAGAAACGATGAGCTAATGCAGTTGCTCCTTATGGTTTTACACTCACTGTTGTAGAGTAGAGCAGTCACACAGATGAAACTGATCTTTATTCTTTTATCTTGACTAGGGAGGAGAGGAAGCTGTCACAGCTGTGCCGTGTTGGTACTCAGTATCTAGTGGCTTTGTTAGGGTGCCAACATGAAAGGAATTGCGGTGCAAATATGAGACCTGGGCAACCTTGGTAATGTAGAGATTTATCAAATCTCATCGTTTCTGGTAATTAGAGACAGGTGCTGGCTGAGTAGTCTTGACCAACATGTTCTGTTTTTGTTTGTTTGTTTTCCCTAGCATTTTTAAACATGTTGTTTTTCTAGCTTTACGTGGTAAAGCTTTACGAGTAAGTATTTGTTTATTTTAGCATGCAGTGTCTGTCCTCCAGATGAAGTAAGCGTGCCTAGCTATATGAGGAAGGTGTGCTGATTTTGTTGTAAGCAAGAGCGTGAGGTGGCGAGAATCAATAGAACCACATTGAGTTCATTGAAACCTAATTTGCACCATCGGGAAAAAGACAATTCCATTCTCAGCTCTGTTTTCTCATTATTGAAAATCTGGGATGCTTTTGCACATGAGGGGGATAATCATTTATACCAGTGAATGCTTGAGCTACAGATCTGTGGGTAGAATTCAGCTCCACAGGCAAATTCTTTTCCTTAATTTACAAGTGGTGCACCTGGGTGCAGGGACCTGAGGAATATTCCTTGTCTCCTGTTGGTCACACCCCCTGAGAAGGACTAGTTATTAAGAGTTTTCTGATAGAAGGCAGCGTTGTGAGCCCTAATGCAGCCAGATTG